GAAGGAAAGGTGGTGTAGTGGAGTTGTACGTAAAGGACTGTTATAATTGCTCAAACCAGAAGTGTGGAGTGTCTTTGTGTTGGAATCAGGCAGAAGGTCAACAGGGCAGACGTTGTAGTAGGAGTCTACTATAGGCCACCCAACCAGGACAGAGAGGTGGATGAACTATTCTATAGGGACTTAGGAGAATCCTCACAATCACTTGCCCTTGTTCTTGTGGGAGACTTTAACTTCCCAGACATCTGCTGGAAATACAACACGGCAGAGTGGGACCAGTCTGGGAGACTCTTGGCATGTGTGGGAGATAATTTTTGACACAGCTGCTGAGGGAACCGACCAGAGAAGGTGCCCTGCTGGATCTCCTCTTTGTGAACAGAGAAGGACCGGTGGAGGATGTGGCAGTTGGAGGCCGACTAGGGCACAGTGATCATGAAGTAATGGAGTTCTCTTTTCTTAGAGAGGCCATGAGAGGGGGCAGCAGAGCTGCCATCCTGGACTTCCAAAGGGCTGGCTTTGTCTTGTTTAGGCACCTGCTGGACAGAATCACTTGGGAGATGGTCCTGAAGGGTATAGGGGTCCAGGAAGGCTGGGCACTCTTCAAGAAGGAAATCTTGATATCTCAGGAGGAGGCTGTCCCCAGGTGCTCCAAGAGAAGCCAGCAGCAGAGAAGACCACTCTGGCTGAACAGGGAGCTTTGTCTGCAACTCAGGGAGAAAATGAGAGATTACAGCCTTTGGAAGAAGGGGCTAGTCACTCACAGAGATTACAAAGCTGCTGTGAGGCTATGCAGGGTGGAAATCAGGAGGGCTAAAGACCAGCTAGAAATTAATCTGGCTTCAGCAATCAAGGACAACAAGAAATGTTTCTATAAGTACTTCGACAGCAAAAGACACACCAGGGAGAGACTCCATCCTTTGCTAGATGCAGGAGGAAACATGGCAAGGAGTGATGAGGAAAAGGCTGAGGTGCTTAGTGCCTTCTTTGCCTCAGTCTTTAGTAACAAGTCTGGTTGTACTGAGGGAATCCAGCCTCCTCAGCCAGAACACAGAGACTGGGAGATGACCAACCCCCAGTCCAGTAGGAGACAGTCAGTGACCTGCTGCATCACACAGACACACACAAGTCTATGGGACCGGCCAGGATACACCCAGGGTGCTGAAGGAGCTGGCTGGGTGCTCCCCAAGGTGCTCTCCATCATTTACCAGCAGTCCTTGCTGACCGGGGAGGTCCCGACAGATTGGAAATTGGCCAGTGTGGTTCCAATATGTAAAAAGGGTCAGAAGGATGGTCCAGGAATTTACAGGCCTGTCAGCTTGAGCTCGGTGCCTGGGAAGCTGATGGAGCAGCTCATCCTGAGTAACGTCATACAACATAAGTGGGACAACCAGGGGATCAGGCCCAGTCAGCATGGGGTTATGAAAGGCAGGTCCTGACAGACAGACCTGATCTGCTACAACAGGGCGACCTGCTTATGGGATGAGGGAAAGGCTGTGGGTGTTGTCTACCTTGACTTTAGCAAGGCCTTTGACACCATTTCCCTCAGCATTCTCCTGGTGAAACCGGCTGCTCGTGGCTTGGATGGGCACACGCTTCGCTGGGTAAAACCTGTCTGGATGTCCGGGCCCAGAGAGTTGTGGTGAAGGGAGTTAAATCCAGTTGGCGGCCGGTCACGAGTGGTGTCCCCCAGGGCTGGGTGCTGGGGCCACTCCTGTTTAACATCTTTACTGATGACCCAGAGGAGGGGATGGAGGGCACCCTCAGTCAGTTTGCAGGTGACACCCAGCTGGGTGGGAGTGTTGATCTGCTCGAGGGCAGGGAGGCTCTGCAGAGAGACCTGGCCAGGCTGGAGCCATGGGCTGAGCCCAACTGGGGGAGTTTCACTGAGGGCAAATGCCGGGGGCTGCCCTTGGGCCACAACAACCCCCAGCAGCGCTACAGGCCTGGGGAGGAGTGGCTGGAGAGCTGCCAGTCAGAGAGGGACCTGGGGGGTGATTGACAGCCGGCTGAACAGGAGCCAGCAGTGTGCCCAGGGGGCCAAGAAGGCCAATGGCATCCTGGCTTGTGTCAGCACTGGCGTGGCCAGCAGGGACAGGGAAGGGATCTGAGCCCTGGGCTCGGCACTGGGGAGGCCGCCCCTTGATTCCTGCGTTCAGTGTTGGGCCCCTCACCCCAAAAAGGCCATTGAGTGACTCAAGCATGCCCAGAGAAGGGCAACGGAGCTGGGGCAGGGTCTGGAGCACAGGTCTGCTGGGGAGAGGCTGGGGGAACTGGGGGGTTCAGTCTGGAGAGGAGGAGGCTGAGGGGAGACCTCATCACCCTCTACAGCTCCCTGACAGGAGGGTGCAGAGAGGGGGGATGAGTCTCTTTAACCAAGTAACAAGTGATAGGACAAGAGGTAATTGTCTCAAATTGCACCAGGGAACGTTTAGACTGGGTATTAAGAAGTTTTTCTTTACAGAGGGGGATGTTGGTTGTTGGAATGGGCTGCCCAGGGAGGTGGTGGAGTCCCCATCCCTGGAGGGGTTTAAGTTGGGTTGATGCAGAGCTGAGGGGTCTGGTGTAGTTGGGAGCTGTCAATTTGAGGTTAATAATTGGACTGGATGATCTTCAAGGTCTTTTTCAATCTACATGATGCTGTGATTTTTCTGAATGCTTTCACCCCCAACTCAACATGATCTGGATCACTTTTACAAAGATTGATGCAAGGTGAGGAAGATTTGCCCTACAATATCTATGTTATTTTACATTGAAGCTAGTCTTCTTAAGACTATTAATATTTTGGCTTGGGCACCATTAACAAATATGTTAACTCTATGTGACAACTGATTAATTTTGGTTTAAGGTTATGAATACAAAACAAAGCATGCTGGTATGTAACGTGAATTTTAATGATGTCACAGCCCTAGTAAAAGATGAGAAAGATAATTTAATTTGCTTTCTCTGAAAGGTCAGTTCTCTTGAGATGAAATTTTCCCTGAGGGTGTCAATGCCCCTCACTCTTTCTCTTTCTTGCTCTTTTTCTTTCTTTGGAAAGTGAACATTTATATTTAAACAGAAAAGTATCTGGGCTTTTTTTTTTGTTTGGTTTTTTTTTTTCCTTGTTTTGTGTTCTTATTCTTTTGGAAAAGTAGTGTCAAAGACAAAAAAAACCCCAAACCAATGAATCCCAGATGTTTCATTTTTTAAACTCAAGCCCATAAATATTTAAACAATGTGCTTCTTACTGTTTTACTTACTTTTGTCTGTACATGTTGCACCTGAGTAGTTAAGCATTATATAGAAACTGGAAGCACAGACGCAATCATTTTCTGGAATCATTTTACATTTGCAATATGGCAGTGGAGAACAAGTGATAATAGGGAATGGGATAATTCAATTTTTGTATTAGACATGAAAGATTAAATATGGGAAGGTACTAACCACCTCTGGAAGGTGCTGAGCTCCTTGTGTTGCCAGCCATGTTGATTCTACAGTACACCATTTTGTAGGAAACACTTCAAAGCCCAGGGATCAAAATCACATCTTCTAATTTTATTCCACTGTTTGGGGTTTTCTAACGTTATACTTTGTAGCCCTTAACTTACAAAAAAAATTCACCAGCATCCTGGGAAAAACTGACACTGGCAATTGGGTTCATCACATGTAAATAACTGTGGATCAAAAATGCTTTCTCTTAATCATATGTCACCTCATTGGGATATTATGATTAAACTTTGTTCTGGTTTGAGTCAGCTATATTCAGACAGTCCTGAGGTTTTCCTTGTTTTGGAAGAGTTGTAAAGGTATTTATTTTGTAAGAAATCAGAGTATTTTAAATGTGCTGGTGACAAAAGTAATGAAACTTGGATCATCTGAATGCCAGCTGATTCAACTGATGTTAAATAAGAAGCTAAATGAACTGAGATCAGTAACAAAGGATCTCGATTTCTAAAGGACAGTTTCTGATGAATGAGGGGAAGCTAGCTGGACTGAGGATATCAAGAACTTGAATGAAGAGCAACTCTGGAATTCGTTCAAGCTATATGGTTTGAAAAAAGGAAGAATTTGTCTCCTTAGTGTAAGTATTAGGGTGGGAGAGGAATAGTGGCAATAGGTAGAGATGGATTGAAAAAATAAGAATGTGAATAACCATCTCAAGGGCTATAAGAGTAATTAGAGATTGTAAGACAGGACTTGTGAAGGAAAATGAGCTGAAGCTGATCCAAGTGTGGAGCAGGTCTATTACAGTGATCAAAACGACAGAAAGCCTGTCATAGGAGGGGACATGAGAAAACAAGGTTTGTTTACCCAAGAAAAATGAAGACTTAGAAGGATATGATGGTTGTCTATAAATAAATGAAGGGAGAATTCACCAAGGAGAGACATGAGCTATTTAATCTAGCACCAGCATTGGCATAAGAATAAATAGGATATGTTGGTCATAGACAAATTTAAACTGAAAAGAAAATGGAGAAGAGTACAAATTGCTAGAGCAGTGAGATTTCAGAATAGACTTCTAGTGAGGTTTGTGGGGAAAAACAGCCTTTTTCAGTGAGGAAATCAGTAAAGTTATGCATATAATTATACCATATGTTGTGTATAGGGCAGAAGACTGTCTGTCTTTACTCAGGAAGTTGCTTCCGGTCTGTCTTCCCATGTTGCTAAAGTAGAAAGTAGTGACAAGTGAATAAGCAAAGGTTGCACATAAAAAATAGCACGTGATCGTGTAAGCAGCTTCATTTGCATCAATTAACCATTTAATTATGGCATCCTAAATTCTAGAATTTTTGACTGCTTGACTAGCAACTTTCACAGCCTTGTTTTTTTCAAGGATTATTCTTGTGCTTGATGTTTAAAGGATAAAATACTAAAACATTTGTGTAAAAAAACTAAAGTGCCCTACCATCAACCTGTTTACAGTACTAATTTCAAAAACATCATGTGCATTTATATATGCCAGTACTGTGTATTTTAGAAATCTGTTTCATGTATGTGCTTGTTGTTTGTGTAATGTCTCCACAGATGCAGAGTCAGATCTCAAACCCCTTAAGAGCACTGCCTCTCTGATTTCTTGTTGAGATCAACAGCGTAGTATCTAAGGTACATGCTTTCAGATTACTTCTCTCTGTGAATTTAAGATTGAGGTAATTTGTTTTACTCATATCAGTTTATGACATCAGGTGTAATTGTTATCTAATTCCTGGTTATGATAACAATGATAACAATAATTACTTTTTAAAAATAATCTATTGTACATACCTCAGATTTTTTTTTTTTTTTTTTTTTTTTTTTCAAAAATCAGTATTTAAGTGAAGTTTGGTAGGGTTAAAATGTCTGACTTAATTACCTATTTAAATAAAAAGAGATAGATAAATCTGGTCCTTTTTAGAAGAAGTTTGGTGGGTTTTTTTTGTTTGTTTTTTTTTTTCCTGGAGTTGGTTCCTTTTTTCTTTTTATTTTCCTGTTGGGAAAATCAGGCTTACACTGTCATCCAAACTCATAATTGTCTCACTTGTCAAGCTCTGCAGCTCATACCTAAGACAAATCTTTTCTTCTACCTCTGTTAATTTTGCCTTTGTAAAAATTCCTTGAACAAGTGCAAATACACAATAACTGCTAACACATTACAGCTGTTCAGCTGGTATACAGAGCCAGCAATCACTCTCTCTTTCCTTCCCTCCTCCCCTTTTCTACATTTCTCCTCAGCATAATACTGGTTTACCTTTCTCCCTGGTCTACCTTACCTCTTCCCTGGTTTAAGTTATATGGTATAGTTCGGAGAATTGCAAAAAACACCCAACAGAGACAGAAGTTGACAAGTTCAGATAAACAGAAAAAATGGCAAGGTCTTCATGCTTTTCTGCTCCATGGATGAGCTGGTTCTCTGAAAGAATTAAGACATCAGGAATTATTTCTCATTTCTAGGAAACTTCTTTCCCAGAACTCCATTGTTTTCTTCAGTCTGTTCACAGAAATGAAGTCGTAGCATACACACAAATACACATGGGCACACATGAACACACACATGCATGCAGACACTCTTCAAACAAAATTAAAGTGTCTATACTTGGACCAGTAGTATTTAATACCTTCATAAACAGAATGCGCAGTGATGTTTGCAGATGAGACCAAGTCGACTGGTGCAGTTGATTCACTTGAGTAAAGGTTTACCGTCCAGACAGACCTTGACTGGCTTCATGAACCTCATGTAGTTCAACGAGGCCAAGTACAAGGTCCTGCACCTGGGTTGGTACAATCCCCAATAAAATACAGACTGGGGGATGAATTAATTGTGAGCAGCCTTGTGGAGAATAACTTCCAGATAAAGGCAGATAAAAAATTGGATATGAGCAAGAAATGTGCCCTTGCAGCCTGGAAAGCCATTGTATCCTGGTATACTTAAAAAGAAGCATGGGCAGCAGGTCAAGGGAGGTGATTGTCCCCCTATACACTGTTCTCATGAGACCCCCCCCCCCCTCTGAGTACTGGCTTCAGTTAGGGCTCCTCTGTAAAAGAAGCACATGGACTTGTTATAGTGAGTCCAGAGGAGAGACATGAAATTGACCAGAGGGCTGGAACACCTCTCCTATAAAGAATGGCCGACAGTTTGGGGTTTTTTTCAATCTGGAGAAGTCTCTGAGGAGAACTTATTGTGGCTTTTCAGTATATGAAGGGGGCTTATAAGAAAGACAGAGAGACTTTTTACCAGGGCCTTTATTGACAGGACAAGGGGCAACAGTATTAAACTGAAAGGTATTAGATTTAGATTACACATAAAAAGACTTTTTTCAAGATGGGGGTGGAACAGGTTTCTCAGAGAAGTTGTGAAAGTCAAGAGCAAAAAGTTGTGATCTTTAAGGTCCCTTCCAACCAAAACGATTCTATGATTCTATTGAAAGAACCACTTTGTGAGTTATAGATTTGGATAGGGCAAAAACTTTAAGTTCTGGCTGAAACACAAAATGGAAATTCTACTGAAAAATTAACAGCAATTTGTCAGAAATATACTCCTCTGAGACTTTGGACTGGGTTTTGGGGGGGTGTGTGTGTGTGTCTTGCTTGATTGGTTTTTTTGTATGTTTTTTAAATACTATTTTTTAATGTGATCTAAGATTTTATTAGACAAGATAGTTTCTTATACACTGTTTAATTTTCTTCGGACAATATTTCCATTTAACATGTGACACACAACTTGTCCATATGAGACCTATTGTTAGTTTCACAATGTCATCAGTGTTTTGAAGGCATAAGTTAAATATTAGTGGCAGTCTGAGAAGTGCACAGTTTATTGTATAGCAAATGTCTTACATGCTGCCAGTGAAATCCCTCACTGACACAGAATAGTTATCCAAGTTTTACTAAGCTGAGAGGAAATGGGTGTAGGACAGAAATAAATGCTGCCCATTCCCATTCAGGAGCTGGTACAAACGTCACGCTGAATCCCACACCTTTATTTTACATATTCAGCTCAGTTTTTGCATGCCATGGATGGAAGAGGGCAGCAAAAGTAAGGAAGCAATGTCTGGTACTGCTCAGCCTTCAGCCCTTTTCACAACTCAAGTTTCTCTCTCTGCTCTGTGGTAAACTTACTGGTAAGGAGGGCTCAGAGTCACCTTTCACTTGGAGAGTGAATTTTACTCTAAACAAACATGAGACGCAAAGAAGAGCTTAGGATGGTTCAATGGAAAGGTGATATGCTGCAAAGTACTTGACTCACCTTTAATTTTTCTGCATATATTTGTTCCATATCATTTTATATACAGATTTTATATAAAATATAATATATATAGTAATATATATATTATATATATTCCTTTATACTTCTAAACTAATTTTACAAATTCAGCCTCTTCATTCTCTTTATGCTGCTTTAATAACAACGTGTCTTCAAATTCTGCACTTCTAAAGTAATAATGACAGACTTTTTCCATCGTTCATGATGGATATTTTTTTGTTTGTTTTTACTTCCATTGCTCTGCCTCCTCCCTCCTCAAGTTGTTTGCTTTGTGCTTGTGTCTCTTAATTTGGCCTTGCAATACTTTTGTATGTGTCAGTCTCAGGTTCCAGGTATCTGCAGACACGGGAGAGGTCGGAATAGCAGGAGGTAATTATCCTTAATTTACAGACCAAGGTTAACCAAGATACATACAGTCTCAAAACTAACAGGTCTTCAGTGGTTTGTAAGGCCTTCCAAGATTGTTAAAGTCAGGATTTTATGTAAGCTGCTCTTCTCCATAACCAAGGGGCCTGACATCGAATACGATTTGAATTTACATTTGTCCCTTAAAAAATCTGCAAGCCGATGAGGAAAAGAAAGTAGCCTGCATGTTCTCAGGGGTAGGGTTGTGGGTTTTTTTTTTGTTTTTGGTTTTGTCTTGGTCTTTTTTTAACTTTGAAGAAATAGGAGAAGGAAAAGAGCTGTGTGTTTTTCAGTTATGGCATGTCTGGTTTGCAGTGGAACAGGTGGAAAGATATACTAACTTTTCACTCAAGACACTAAATGATCAGCTGACACAATGTTTATACTAGCAGATGAATGAGACAAATCCTTTTTATGGCACTGAAACTAACTGGCACAAACAGCCAGTGTCCCTAGTATTTAATTTCCTAGTGGGCATAAGGACTAGAGTTATAAGCAACCAGCTCTTTTTTTTTTTTTTTTTTTTAATCCAGTCTGTCTGTTAAACTGGAACAGCAAGACAATGAATTACTAACTTGTTTTCATCTCCTGTAGGCATGCTTTCTGAGTTGTATGGAGTATTTTTTCAGCATAGAAACAGAAAGGGAGCTAGGCTTTGTGGCTCAAATCACAAAACTCCTGTCTGTAACTCAAAGTCCACATAGATCTCAATGCAAACTAGTTCATTTTTGTCCATTTTCAAATACTAAACTAAAAGGATGAAATAAGGATCAGAGATGCCTTAGTCTCATGCTGTGGTCAGTAGCAAGAGATAAGTATTTCCTAGGGACAGTGTAGACTACAGGCTTCCAGAAAAGCAGCTACAATGAATCCAGGCCTAAAGTTCATCAGTACATCAGTTTCCCTGTAGAAGTCCTCTTTTCTTTTTATCAGCATTTGCACAAATAGCTTAAAGTCTATAAAACATAGAACAGGTGTTTTGGTCCTACAACTAGTTTCCAATCTGTTTATATTAGCATTCCTGTTGTGTATGTGCATGAAGAATGGCTGCCAGAGAATTGCTACATGTCAAAGACTAAAAGTATCCAAATCACCAGATCATAACATTATCTTTCAGTTTATGAAATTGATAAAAGCCTTCTAAAACAGACAATGTTCACTGCAGGTTCTTAAATACAATCTCTCTGCTTTATATCACTTAACAATCCTTACCCTTTTTATAAACTACTTTTTATATACACTCTATATGTAAATAAATTCTGTTAACAGCTGTAACTGATATCTATATTTAACTCAACCATGTGTGAATAGTCCAGCACAAAAAGATCTCCATGATGACTTAGAGTCACTGGAAGAGAAATAATTTGTACTTTTTTTGTCCCTCTGATTCTTTCTGCTAATGCAGCACTTGCTCACAAAATAAGTATGAAGAAAGAAATGTTGAATGTGTGGATTGCAGACAGCCTGCTCCTGACTGAGGTGAAGAGGATCTGTATCATCATTTCAACTTCCATCCTTACCACCTGCAGAGTAAAAAATGAAATCTTGTCATGCATGACAAGGATAGATTTATGCTTACCTTTGACCATGAAAGGAAGGCAAGAAAAGTAAGGTAAAAGAGGTTGAGGGTGGAAAGAACTAAAGGAAAAAAAACACAAACAAACAAACAACTTCTAATAAATTTCAATTCCAGATGTTACGCAGATCTGTAAAAGAAATGCCACCTCCCAGCAAGACACACACAGTAACAATGAGCAGCTAAACTTCTTGGCCCCCAAAAGAAATGGAGGTAAAAAAAACTTTTGTTGCTAGGGCTAGGGCTAAGCTTTTGAGCACACAGAACAGGGAAAACAAACCTTATCACAAATGACATAAAGGTCAGGATTCTTCAAATTAAATGTAAACTTTTACAGCATATACAATGACATTTGAGTTAGTTACCCTTTGTTCCCTTTAAAGACAATTTATATACCACACCTATTTTTAAGAAGATATTTAAATATATCAGATGTACAGCAAACTAGAAGAGTCAATTTCTTTTCTCTCTCTGTTACCCATGGAACTTACTCAAGCGGAGTACATTGTGCATGTACTTTGTAGATACAAAAAGACAGGTAACTCCAGTGTAGGATGTCTTTGCTGTACACAGGAAGAAAAAAACCTGGAGATCTGCAAGTCAGCTGGGATTTAGCTTAATGTATGCTGAGAAGGATGAGGCAGTTGAATGCCACATAAGAACACCACACAAGTCTGTGCCCCACCAACACAGGGGTGATAGCTCATATCTGGTCTGTGCCTAGGTACATCTCCAGGCAATGATATTAGGAATAAATAAATTTGAAGACAAGCTTATGCTTGTTCTTAACTGAACTTGAAATGAGAGATTAATCTTGATAACTCAAGCCTGCTGTTAGACTTGGTGATGAAATGCTTTTAAAGTCCCTTGAAGTCTAAAATAAATGAAGACTAAAATAAAATATATGCCATAAATGTTCCCTGCCCATATTTAACTGTATCGCCAAGTATGAATGAAATACCTTAATTGTTCTACAACAGACTTCTGTTGACAACACAGATAATATCTATCCCCTGATTTGATCTTAACTGTGTCATTCCAGGTTTTATACCAGTAAGAGTAATATGTCAAAAGGACTGCAGCTTTTTACAATATTGTAATCTTGTTAGGGTAACTGCATTTAATTGGCTCCCCAGATTCATTTATAGATGTAGTGTAGCTGAAACTTCAGAGATCTCTGGACACATTGTTAATAATCCTTGAAATATAAATATTTAATGGGGTTTGAGAAAAATCTTACAAATATTTTTGCACACTGAATGGCTCTGTGAGGTGCAAGTGAGGACCATACTTTAATGACTATGACTACTCAACTTGAAGATTAGGGTCTATTGTTGTTTCCCATTATCAGAGTTAACTCAAGTGGTGGGGATCAAAGCTTTGGTGTTGTAGGTGTGAGACTCATCACAGGCTGATGCTCTGTGATTGGAAATATTGCCTACAGCATTGTGGAAGGATGAGGTTTCTGTCTAGTTGCATAACAGTAACCCTGTTTCTGTATTTCTTTTAATGACATCTTCACAGCTGGACTGACATAAGTGCTTTTTTTGGGGGGGGATTGTTCTTTTTTTTCTTAATGTAGCTCAGACTACTAATAGCTCTTAATGTAATTTGTACAGTTTGGGGATTGCCTTCATTCAGTAATATTTCCATAATATAAGTATTAAACCCAATAATAATAACCAACACAGGTGAATGAAAAATAACTGGAGACAATACTACAAAAAAAGGAAGGGAAGGGAAGGGAAGGGAAGGGAAGGGAAGGGAAGGGAAGGGACTGTCTCTTAAGGG